GTTCCCACTTTTCTCCAAACCAGGTTCTCGGATCCCTGGATAAGAGCCTTCCTGTGATTCTGTGTAACTGAGGGTGATTGGGACTTCCAAATTTTAACTTCCAAACTTCGAAACAGCTTCCCAATCTCCCTTTGCACCCGTGACTCTGTGACAGCCTATAAAAAGCAGCTTAAAACTCACCTGTTCAAACAGGCTGTGTTTGTGTTGTTTCGCTCGGTGTCCTGTGTGTCTGTTTTGCCTTTGGTGAGGGATTCACACATCTTTACGAATTAAACTTTCCTGTAATTTTCAGTGGGCTGAATTGGAACGTCTGGTGGATTGGTTCTGGTCCCCAAACCACACGTTTGACAGCTGAGGTCTAGAATGATTGTGATGTACATGTTACTAATCTGACTGTTTCCTTTCATTTACTTGTAACAAACATGTTATTTCACTGTAATGTTTATGTAATGTTTAGAGAGAAAGGTTGTTGTAAAGAGAATTATCGCTTCAATCTGCAGCTCTTGCATTAGCATTTCAGCTTATTGTTTTCCTGTTTTGGATCACGGTCTCTGCTCTTAGGGTGTCATTTTCTGCTGCAGCAGCTGTTCTTGAGATAAAAAGCTCCAAATAACCTCGGTACACGACTAAGACACAGTTAGAGACCAGCTGAACTGGCATCTTAACCTCAGAACCCAAAGGTGGACACAAAAATAACCTGATATTACAGGTTTAAGTGAAGGATGTGACTAAAAATTTCCACCGCTGCTGTCTGAACTGAAAACATTTTCCCTGAGAAGATACTTTAAACCACAAAACAGCTGGCCAGCATGGACATCACACTTATTTACCTTCCAGCATTTCAAAAGATCTCCCTTTAGCATCAGGTGGAACTGGTTAAGACGTGCAGTGGTTCTCGAATTAACGAGAAACAGAGGTGTTCTGTGACTTTGCGCCAGTAAAAGGCACCTCAGCCTCTCCCCTGGATGCCCAGTCAGCACGCCACCAGCCAGAAACCATCAGACCTGCAGCTTGCTCAGCACAATCTCTGTGTTTATTATGTTTTTACACCACGGCTTAACTACGCGGCTTCATGTCGGATGAATGATTTAGACGGCGTGTTTTAAATCTACTGTGGGTGTTGCTGTTGGGTCTTAATCAGCCATTAAGGAGCGCCGTGTTTACGTGAGTTGATTGGTGGCGTCTGTGTGAACCACATCTGGATGCACTGCTGTTTAATGGGCTCCCGATGAGGTTTTAATGGAGGTGGTCTCTTGTCGCTCCGGCCCTGTAATGAGTCGCGTAAGGGACTATTGGGCTTCCCCGCTCCTCTTGGTGTGAATGAGGGTCAGCTCACAAGCACATCAGGGACTTCTGCGGCCCACTTAAGAGACGGTTACCGTGGCTACAGGCCCGAGGCTCCATCTGCATGTATTATAGGAGGCGTGTGCATTGAGAAAAAAAGGGGAGTGGGGGGGGATACAGCCTGGAGGGAGCAGCTGTCTTGCGATCTGGTGTATGCACATCTGGGACGGCTAGCTGGGGTGTCACCACGCTGTACCCGGAACTCGTCCATCACTGCAAGACACACATTGTTCACATTATGGTGTTGTTAGACCAGCGTAACTGAGGTTTAATGTTTGTGGCATCTTTTGTGTTTGTGTACACGATGTTTTGAGAGGATTTTTCCACTTTGCCCAACAGACTGGAACTGAAACACTTGGTTAGTTTCAGTCATTTGTTATCATGCCAAACATTCTGAGGTTTTCATTTTCCATGATCAGGGTTTTTGCCAGCGTTTTGAAAGCCTGGCCCAAGTTGACCCCCCGTCAGGCAGGACTAAACATCACAGATTTTTATTTGTTAGACAAAACCTACAAACATTACATTGACTAACCTGTGATTTCCAAAAGTGTGGGGACTATCATGGTACTGCAGGTGAGCCAGCAGAAGGTATTTTCAGCTTTTAATTTTCAGTTTTGACATTTAGTTTTAAACTGTAGACACAGAACTAGTGACAGTAGTAGGATATAAAAAATGGCACGTTGTTTTTAATTTTCCAACCCATTTTTGATCCTGAACTCACCTTGTATGTTGTGAAGAGAAGAAGAAAACTTAAATTGAGCAGAAGTAAATCTTCTTTGGTTTATCTCATCAAACAGTTCAGATGTCCCATTGTAAATTTTGTGATAGGCATTTTTTTCCCAGTATTTTTCTGTATTTTATCCAATAATCAGTTAATGTGTGGATTTAAATAATGAGTGGCAGATAAAGCCATAATGAAAAATAAGCTGGTTTGAAGGGTTGGCCTAAGCCCAGTGGTCGACCTTGATAACCACAGCTTCTACTCTCACCACGTGAAGGATCATCTGAATATCCATCCACCCATCCTTCATCAATCTTGAATCTTGGACAAAATGAAACATACAATCTTTTCAGCGAGCTCTGGTCTTCCCCTGATTAGGATTCCTTTAGACTCGAAGAAACAGCGACCCTTATATTTACAGTGATGGTAGCGATCAGGCGGAAACTTTTACTTCCAAAATCAGACGTCTTTATTTGCGCTTAAAATAAATAAAATACAGATGGATCCGGAGACCTAGCTAACTAGCCTACCTCCGCTACTTCTAGTGAGGTCTGGCTCACAACCGGAAGTCAACACAGTCTTATGGGTTCGGTGTCCCGCCCATTGTACCCCCGCATCAACTGTCCTGCCTGCGGTCTTCCCCACTTCAGCACTCTAAACAAAATCACCCAAGTTTAAGCATAGCTTTCTAATCCTCTCTACCTACAATGAAAAGATGAAATCATGAGAACATAATCACATTTCCCACAAGCACCCTTTCTCACAACAGCCTCATTGTGTTGGTTACTCCAAAATAATGAGATTGGTTACTTCTGAGAGCACATGACCATAGTTGAGGGTTACAACATGATGGATTGGTAAATCAAAAGCTTCTCCTTCAGGTTCATCTGTTGCTTTACCGCAGCAGTCTAGTACATGGCCCAAAATACAGTACACCTCACAATCCACCTCACCAAACACCCTGAGAAGTTAACTACTTCTTTTTAGGGCAGCAAGTCTGATAGAACAGCTGCTATCTATTTTTAACCTTATCTCGTTTCTTAATAACTCACAAGTAGTCGATTATTATATAAACAAAAAGACACCAAAAGCATCTAAACTCTTCTGTGGACATTTGCAAATAAAACATGACATTAAAATCAGTCCCAAGAACTGCTGGAGCCATGAATACATGAGGAGAACTAGCCTTTTGAAAAGCGAGAGCCTGCTAAGCGCTGCACTATCACATTTTTTAAAAAGAGCAGCTTCTAAAATGACATCAGCAATGAAAACAATTTCGCTCACTGGCAGATAATCCCTGGGCGTGGTTGGGCTCGGAGCCGTTCAGCAGGAGATCAGTTGAGGTTACAACAGCACGTGTCCACATGTGGAATAATATGGTATTGATTATTTAGGTAATGCATGTTTCCATTCTGCACGAGTTAGAGCTTTTGACAGACATTTCCTCTCTGGAGCATTTCTCTCCCCCAATCCTCTCGGTTCCATATTAAGGGAGTGGAAGCCGTGGGGGTTGGAGAACATGTGCCATCCTCCGTCCCATGAGCTTGTCCAAGCGGATTAATCCACCAGTGGCCAGAGAGGAAGAAATGAGTCGGAGATGTGTATTCTGCCAGCCACGACTGCAATCTGATGGAGCTGCTGTGCGATTTGTAATACAGCATTGATATGAAATTTTGAAAAGGGGTTCTTTTTTTTGAAAAAGTGTGAATTGTCAGACATCTTTCTTCTTTTCCCTCGCTCTGACACCTCCTGCCCTCCATCTCGACCTTGCTATACAAAAATTTGTCATGCAAACAACACCTGTTGTTTACTCCTCTCCCTCTAAGTCTGTAGATATTCACATCAACTATGAACACATTAGATTTCTGACGGGCGGACATGCTTGCGCTTGGGTAGACTGATGCTAATGGTAGTTTGACTTGTATGCTTACCTTGTGCGTTTTACCTCCACTGGATAAATCCAAAAGATCACTCACTTTTTTCATTTTGGCTCAACGTGCATTAAAGCAACAAACGATTTTGAGTCTTTAGGGGTGGGCAGTAATGCACATGTGCTTGTAAAGGTGGTAAAATTGAGCAACCAGGCATCCAACAAGTCCTTATCATTAAACAGTGAAGTGAAAACTTCAACACACAGCACTTCCAAATTGCACACTAGCACTGGATGAGCCAGTTCTCCCAGCTTTGAAATCACAAACAGGACAAATCAGCTGTGCTCAGCCATCAGCAAACACAGAATTTGGGTGTAATTAGTTCTGCTGGTATTTGGCGGCAAAGCCAAGTTTTAACAGTGTGTGCTCTGGGCCTCATAGATAACTGTACAGCTGCTTGGATATTTGTGTTGCCTGGAACAAGAGATCCAGTCTGACCGACTGACCAACATTTCCATCCCTGGGGTTCACGCTAAAAAATTGGAAGATGCGACTACACGAAGAAGCTGGCTGTAGATCATATTTAAACCATCAGCAACAGGAAGCACATACCGTAACAGAAGAGCGGCACATAAGGGCGGTGAACGTAGACGTGCTCGCAGCGCACATACTCTGACATGACCTCAGCATGCGGAGGAGCCTCAGAGTGGTGTTCATAAGGCCTGTGTCATGCTGCCTCTGGGTGTAAATCACACGTCTCTCAAGGGTGGAGAGGGGAGCTCCAGATGCGGCTGGGTGCGGTTTCAGTGTTGACAGTGAGTAGGTGGACTGGGGGTTGTGTGATGAGCCAGACAGCTATGTTCCCCCTCGCTGCGGAGAGACCATGTCTATCACTTTGTTTTGACAGAGCCGAGCTGCTCCCAGGATGGCGTCTCGCTCATTAAAAACACACCCGGAGTCTCGCCTGGCTCCGCAAAACTCTGTTTCATTTCTGGGAATGTGGGGAATCATAAGACTATTGCAGATCAATGTAATAATGGATTTTTCCTGCTTTTATTTTTCAGGGCCAATATTGATGAGGTAGAAACAGAGGTGGTGGAGATCGAGGCAAAACTAGATAAGGTAAGACGGTTCTTCTAGTTAACTAGTTAACATACAAAGATGATGCTGTAAGATGTTGTGAAAGGGAAAAAAAGTAGTGCAAATTGTCTTAATATTTATGTCTTTTTACTTCTATTGGTGTCTTTCCTTTGTTTCTTTCCATAAAGAAGTTATTGCGAATGAAAGACTGAAAACAATATTGGATAAACAAAGTAAGCGTTCTATAATGTTTTCAGTTTTCCCAGTCCACGCTGTCAGTACTTGCTTTGTTTTTCTTGCTCTATAAGCAGTAAACAGAAACCAGGCCAAGTTTCAATAGCTTTTTCAAAAATGTGTTCAGAATAAATGAAACAGAAACTCAGCCCCGAGCACACCTGAAGGCAAAAGACCTGCCGCCTTAAAGAAGCCAGTCCGGTTTTATGAAGCTTAGGGGCACCAACGTTTTTTGGTGTGTGTGTGGTTTTTTTTTTTCTTTTTAGAAAAGCAAACATAATGAGGTCATGGCGTTAAGTGACACGTGTGGCAAGCTGTAAGATTGCTGATACTAAACGTTCACTTGCAACATTTTTTTCAGCTAAATCGTCCAGTCTTACAGTATGATATGAAGCTTTTTTATGGTAATGTTTAGTCCCTTTACCTGAGCTTTGGTAAAGATTGTGATTTTTTTCCTTAAAATTCAATCAAAAGGGTGATCTGAAACTCTTAAATTAGAAATCTCTATTGCAGATTTGTCTGAAAGACTTTGAAAAGACAGTTTCTTTTATATATATATATAGATATGGTAATTATAATAATGGATTGCATTTATATAGCGCTTTTCGGGGCCCTCAAAGCGCTGTACAATTCCACTATTCATACACACACTGGTGGAGGAAGCTACAGTTGTAGCCACAGCTGTCCTGGGGCAGACTGACAGATATCGTGCGATCGACCAGTAGGCGGTAGGTGAAGTGTCTTGCCCAGGGACACAACGACCGAGACTTTCCGAGACGGGGCTCGAACCGGCAACCTTCCAGTTACAAGACGAACTGCCAACTCTTTGAGCCATGATCGCCTTTAATAAACATAAAAAGGCTGTGCTGAGCTCTTGTAATCAGACCCCTAAATGATGCCAGTCATATATTTAGGAAGATTAAAAAAGTTCTTTTCTGTTTTTCTCTTTTTTTCTTACAAGGAGAATTTTTATACTAAGAAGTCAATATTTTGTTAATATTTATGTTAAAATCTGAACTATCAGAACTGTGTGTTTGGATAGTTTAAAAGTGAAGCAGAGCAATCTTTTACACTGCTGCCATCCACAGAGTTACACAGCTGTGCATGCAGCTCTCTCCTTCTTACTGCAGCAGGGCTGAATTTGTATTTTTTTTATAAATCTTTGGTTTCATTTATCACCCAATATTTTTTTTTATACATTTAAATAAAACTGGTATTTTAACTGTTCCCACATCTTATAGTTCAGTACATGTTTGACTTTTCAGGGTAACCAGTCATGGACAGCCATCAAATTGAGAGTCACAGATTTGGTGTAAAGCTTTTGTTTCTAAATATTTTGCAGATTGTGATTAATAATGTCACATTTAAATCTACTTTTTAGTCATGCTGTTATTATGGAACAATTCAGCAGGTTGTAATCTAAAAATATTAGCTTGAAGCAAGTGAGCTACTGGCCTGTTATGTTGGACACTGCCGATACAGAATATCAGTTACACTTGTGCCAATAGAAATTTAAATTTGAGAGCACCAACCACGACTTGACTGACATGTCTTCAGCCATCTGCTTTCTATAAAAACACCAGATAAAAAAAACATCCACTAAATGAGAGCATCTCAACTATATTTTTAGCAGAAATATCTCAGTTTGCACATTTGCAGAAGTATAAAATCATCTTTTTTTACCCTTTAAAAAACCAAACTCTGTTGTAAATTAGAAACATTTGGAGAAGCCCACCTAGTGTGCCAAAGAAGCCTATCCCATGTTTTATGTTTTTAATTATTAATGAGGGAATCCTTGCAAACATATGGGAGCCAGTGAAATTCACAGGGTGTTTCTCACACTGACTGCAGCCCTGAATGGTAGAAATACTGCAGAACTAATGGCTGAAAAAGAGGAATTTTGGTCTCTTTCCACATTTTGTCACACTATATTGAGTTGCGGCAGACCTTAGCCACAGCCTGCCTATTACACACAGGATTATATCACTGTGCAGTGCCTAATCCCTTAGTGCTAACATTGCTAGCATAATGGACGGGGTATTGTTGCTCGGCCCAGTTGAAGAGTTCAGCTCAGGTTTGCTGAAACGTGACGTGGCAGCAGTGCAAGATGGGGATTACAGAAAACATCAGACTGCATGGCTTTCAGAGCGTGCAGTTGCCCTGTAATGAGGCAGCCAGATGTTCCAGCTGTAATGCTCCTGTCACAGGTCCATCTGGTGCTGTTCTCAACCTAACCCTGACTGTGACGTGCATGTGTCAGAAAGAGCCAGCGCTAATCAGGCTGTTCTTTTACTGCCATCGCTGTTGGGAACCTCCACTGTTAGTTCATATACCAGGCCACAGGCATTCCTGTCATTTTTAATATTCATCTACCAGGGTCTTCACAAAGATGCATTTAGCCAACATACTCTAAAAAGGGGGTGTTTAACAGCTTACATGTGTGTTTTTTGCACTGAAATTTGATCATCAGTTGTATAAAACTGCATAGTAAAATGGGTAAATAATAAATTGAATAAAAAGCTAACTTCCTACATGAATCTAAATATTTACATAAATATTAGCTGATAAGATTTGGGTAATATAGGTAGAAAAAGGTTTGTTTAACATTTAAACATATTTTCTGCATATAAAATATAAAATAAAATATTTTTTTGTACTTACACTCACAGATGCTAATGTTTTTGTCACTTTTTACAGAATCAAACTCAAAGTACTGTCAGTACTTCCAAGCATTAAATGCTCCATGGTCATACTCTCTCCCACGCTCCATATTATCCATGTTGATCTGCACACGTCTGTTGCTGCCACGGACGTCACGCGGTCGTACGTCTCTGTCATGAGACACTCTCACAAACAAAATCCCGGTTTAGTAACACAGGAACGCAGCGTGCTAACAGGAAAGTTACAGTAATCGGATTACTTTTTTGCAATAGCAATCCGTTACTTTACTTGTTACTTGAAAAAACCGGTCCGTGAGTCCTTTCGTACCGAAAGTTGAGGCTCGGGTGTGAAATTTATGGTTTTCAGGGTTTTTAATCGTTCACTCGGTTTCCCTGGCTCTTTTTCCGTGTTGTCGTTGTGTGTCTTATTTTGAAAGAAATATTTACGCGTTACCATAGCGACCAGAGAGTATTAAGGGGCAGAGAGGAGAATGTTACTCTCAGTGTTTTTGGCACATTTCAGGAGGATGCTGCTAAAAAAAGTTACACAATTACACAGTGAATTTGCATTTATTATTATATTTACAAAATACCACAGTTTTTGTCTTGGTCGTATCATTTTATTTTGTTGTATTTATCCGCGACACCTGAAAGGCCGGTCCGTGAAAATATTGTCTGACATTAAACTGGTCCGTTGGGGACCGCTGCACAAGAGGACAGAAAAGTGTGTCATTCCTTACTGATTGAGAAGTGAGTACTGGACATTGCTGGCAGTCACTGGGTCAGATTAGTTGCAAAGAAGTATACGGTGCTGCATGGAAAACCTTGTGATTGCTGAGGTCACCTGTAGTTTACATTGCAGACCTGCCTTAAAACCCTACAACTCTGCAACCAACTTGTTTTGAATGGTTGGATTGCAGGAGTAAGCCACAGCTTTTACTTTGATGGTGACCAATATCTGTTTGTGGTTTGTGTTATAGTTTTTACTCCTGTTCTGTGAGTTGATGGCAAATTATGGGTGACTGCAGCAAATCAATCTCAAGGAGATTTTTGATGTGGCACTGAGACTACACAATGACTGGTTTCTAGGCCTGTGTGGGACTCATAGACCGCATGAAAGATGGACTCAGCTACCGCCTCCCATTGGTTTGTGATGAGGTGTTCACCTGTTTCTGCTGCACTATCTAGTTGTTTTAAAACCAGATATTCAGAATAAGGGGTGGAGCTGACTGTGAAACTGAACCAAATCCTCCTTTCTGACTCCATCATAATCAGAATTTACAAAATAGACTTCAGTATGATTTGAAAGTAGTGATTATGCACCTAGAGTCATCAGGAAAGCATTTAAAGAAGGCACAGAGTAAGAGAGCTGATGGCTCTGAAGTTATCCCCTTCTGGCCATTAAAGACCTCTGGGAGATACAAGTTTAAGGGACTTTTAGCCCCCCTTCTTTTTTTAAAGACCAGGAAGCAATTTTGCTTACTTTTGTTCAGTCTATCTCTACAAAAATGTCTTTGCAAATCTATGGGGAGTGCTGCAGACTGGCTGTCTGGTGAGTTTTAGCAAGCTTTTTGTTAGTAGCAGGATAGGTAAAGCCTTGTTTTCAGTCATAATGCTAGGCTAATGGTGAGTTTGCTTATAAACCAAAGAAAAGGCCACATCAGATTCATGTCTGGTTAGCAGCTGGGAGGAAATGAGTCTTGCTGGAGAAGACGGGTGCTGAAAAGCAGGAAACCTGGCATTAGAACACAGAGTGAAAAATAAGAAGAGATTAATTTTCCTCTCATGAAACCAGAAGCTAAACAAAGCAGCCGTTTTAGCAGACAGAGAAAATCTGCTGACAGAGAAAATGTTCTTGGAAATGCACAAAAACATTCATGCTGAGTTGCCGGTGTCTGCTGTCCATTATCCAGTCCTGGATAACGTCGGCTCTTTTACATGCGTGCAGGGTGGCTAGCTGATGTCAGGGGCTGACATACGGAGCCCACCTGCACACGCTGCCATATGTGAACACAGGTGATGAATAGACAGCACACATGCAGCTGGATGACTCCATCCCCGTCTGGGGCTCAGGTGCGATGACGAGCTGCAAACGCAGAGAAACAAAAGCTTGAGTGTTGTGACTCGAGCATGTGATGTTGAGCTATAAAAACCGCTGGCCTTAAGCGTGGATCGTACCTCAGTGATGGGTCACACGGAGCCTCATGTTAAGCAGACTTCTATTTACCACAGGTGTTGACACATGGGAGAAAGTGCGATCTCTATTTACATTCGAGAGACATGCATGGGGCAGCATTAGGGTGGCTGTAGCTCAGGAGGTAGAGCAGGTCACCTACTGATCGGAAGGTCGGTGGTTCGATCCCTGGCTCCTCCAGTCTGCATGTCAAGTATCCTTGGGCAAGATACTAACCCCAGCTTGCTCTCCGATGCATCCATCGGAGTATGAATGTGTATGAATGTCTTTAGAAAGCACTAAGTATAGATAAAGTGCTTGTGAGAATGGGTGTGATTGGGTGAATGAGGCATGTTGTATAGAGCGCTTTGAGTACTCCGGGAGAGTAGAAAAGCGCTATATAAGAATCAGTCCATTTGCCATTACCATGGACATGCAGTTTAATTTTAACACCCTCAATCCAGTCTTTGGACTGTGGGAGCATCACCTGGAGGAAACCCACACAGGCAAACTCAATAGATGGCCCCAGCTGACCTGCAGGTTGGGCCATTTTAACATTGTAATTTTGATATGCTCTTTAGATGTCAACTAGCTTTCTACTAACCCTGCTCAAACTCATCAACACTCTTCTTCATTGATACCTGGAGGCTGGTCTTCAACACCTGGGAGGAAAGACACACTGATGACTTTTTAAAGTTGAAAGAATGTTGACTTTTTGTAAACTTTCAGTTGGACCAAATAACTCATTATAACTTTATGCAAAACTGTCATTCGATGTTGTGCAATTGGGAAACACCATATGAAAACCAGGCCAAGATTTCAATCCAGAATTTTCTTCTTTTTTTTTTATTCAACTAAAATTTTAAAACTTAAATTAACATAACCAAAAGCAAATTCATATAAAATAAACAAACAGTATCCCTTCTTTGAATTATTATAGGTTAGCAATAAAGCAAATAGATAAAAAGACACTTGTACATATATTTGTAAATGATAAAACCTGAGATTAAATTCTCCGCTAGGTTTACAAGAAACTGAAAGATGGACAAGAAAAGGCTCATTTTGCTTGCTGGCTGGCCAGGTCACATCCCCATTCATGTGCAACTGCATGAGCAGGGATTTTCTCATCACATCTGAGGTTTGCTAGACGAGCATTTAAGGGAAAATAGCATGTTTCTATTTGCAGTTTATCCATCATAAGTTGTTTAATAAACTTTACTTTTTTAGATCTGAGTGATACTGCAGAGAGTCAAGTTACAATAACAGATCCTGGAACTATTATAGGATATTTATAGGAAAACAGCCCTCTCCTGTGATCTCTGTAAATCTCTGTTTATCGGCCTATTTGCTAATTTCAGTCAACATTTGAGAGGAGAATTATCCAAGATATAGTCTTTGGCTAACGAGTTGTGACTGACAAGTTGCCGTCACACCATCGCTTTTAAAACCCCTAGATGGTGCAAGTGAACACGCGGATGTGCTTGCAACACCTGTGACTGAAGTTAGTTATACCCCAGACTCTAGTGTCCAGATGGATAATATAGAAAAATTCAACCTTGATTTTTGTACCAGGCTGTAAACATCTTTTTATTTATTTATTTTATTTTTGACCATTCAAGACTTGCTCAGTAGCGGTTAAAATGACCTCTCCTTCTTAAATGAATCCAGTTTTTTTTTACAAGGCCTCGGCCTTATACAGATTCTTTTTTTCTGATATACAAAGCCTGCCCATCGTCATCTCCTTAAGCTGAACTACAGCCCTGCTAACACGATGCGTGTGTTGAAAGCTTCAACATCTTTCATTTAACCCCTCGTCTGTCTTCTGTCCACAGCTGGTGAAGCTATGCAGTGGGATGATCGAAGCAGGAAAGGCCTATGTCAGCGCCAACAAGCTCTTTGTCAACGGCATCCGGGATCTGTCTCAGCAGTGCAAGAAGGACGTAATGATCTCGGTGAGATTCTGAAACAAAGCCTCGGCTTTATCCATCACAGACTTTAATCTGGTATTATTGGCCTCATTTGTCTTTTAGTGGATATGGTTGTGTGAGGCTAAAAAAGGCTTTTTTAGCCTCACACAATCAGCTAATGTCCGAGGAGAAGCCTCAGACATTAGCTTTGCAGATTTGTTTTTGTGTGAACAAACCTGATTACTAACAGATTAGTCAGCGAGGATCAAATCAGGCCTGGAAACTTACTTCTTGGCTCGACTCACGACTCCGGCGTCTTGGACTGTTTTCATTGCTGCTGACATTAAGTACTATTAAAAGCCTTTTTGGCTTCAACTGTATGACTAATTGTGAGTTTCTTATTAAAGCCTTGTTCATATTTGTAGTTTCCATTGTAAACGAATAAAAATAAATGGCATGAATCAGTCCTGCAATTACAGCTCTTTTTCCCGTACATGGTACAGCTCAGTGACATTAACCAGCTTTGACTTACTTTTAGCTTTGTGGATCTTTTTATTTTCTTCCATGCAGAATTCATATAAATTATGGTTTTAGTTTCTGACAGATTTTATTTGCTTCTTTTATTCACAAAAATGAAACTATTGTGGCGTGAGACTATTATGAGGATTTTTCTGGATGTATTGTGCAGATAAAGACTGGTTTTTGTTATTTTCTGTGCAGGAGTGCTTGGAAAAATGCGGGGAAAGCCTGCAAGAGATCATAAACTACCACATGGTAAGCCAGCCATGCACTCTATATACATTATTCTGAGACAGAGTGGTATCATTCTAATTTTAACTGGCATTTAAGGCTACATTAGGGCCTTTTATTCTTTTTATTTTAACACTGATGGTCACTGAAACCATCTGTGGCTGCATTAATGTCAGTATATACAGCTCACACTGAAAGGCAGACACTGACGGTGTCTCCTTCGGTTGTTTTTATATGGAAATACTCACCAACGGGGCACCTTTTAATAAAGGTTGTGTTAATGGTTAGTGAATAATTAAATTATCCTTTACAGCTCATTTAAAGGCCATTTATAAAAACAAAATTACGGTTGCCAGGTTATTAAAATCTCCCATTGGCAGGTACTTTTCATTTCCTTTTAGTAAGCCTAATAAAGAAATCCTCCTGGGTTTCTCACTCACAAGTAAGCAATCAAATGTGTAGTTTAATTCAAGGTTTTAATGATCAAATAATGTTCAATGGTTTTAAATAGACGGATTTTTGTCCAGTTTTTCTGCAGACCCTCGGAGATGCCACAGTATTTCAGTTAAACCACATCTAAAGATTTTAACGGTGTGTAAACACCCAGTAATGCTTTTTAAAAAGATGTTGAATTTGGTCAGACATCTAAATAACATAAAGATTTGTATTCTCAAGTCAGCGAAAAGGCACAGATAATGTCTAAATAACTCTTCCTCCTTAACTCCTGAGTTCCTCATGTTGCTCCGCTGTGTTTAACTGTTTTAGGTTTGTACAAATAAGTCATAATGTAATAAGAAATAAATAACTAAATTCTATTTATGTAGCACATCTAAACTTACAATGGAGACATTCACACTGCTTGCGTACAGTGGCGCAGTAACAAGCTGTCCTGCATTCAGACAGTACCAGAGGTCAGCAGTTCTCGAAGTGAAGTCTTCAGCTTTGATCTAAAAACAAAAAAGTCACAGTTGATACAAGTTGATATATAAACTACGACTGTGGGGATTAAAGACAAAAAGTAGCAATAAACAAAACCCGCCACTTTATACTGTATTATTTAATGCACAAGGAAGCAGTGGGAGCTTGCTAACACTGTCTCAAGTGGTAGTAGACTGATTGGAAACAACCAAGAGACTAACTTGGAAACTCCTGTAGACAGTAGTATATAGTATTATAGTAGAGGCCCCAGAATAAATTCGTGTGGAACTCCATATGTCATACTGGCTGATGCAGAGAATGTTTGATTTCCAAAGAAGTCTTAATATTATTTATTCCACAATGCAAAAATTCTGAGTGGATACACTAGAAGAGACAATGCAGATGGGGTTAAAGGCTGATATTACAGGAATAAAACTGTATTAGGAATTGACAAGAAGGATATTTTCTATATCTATTAAATGGGACATATAAGCAGTGTTTGATATCCAAGGGAGACTTTCTGAGCATGGTTGCAAAATTCAGAGTTAAATATATTTATAATAAAAAAGAGAAGAGAAAGAGAGGGAGAGGAGAAAGATGTGTCCTCTTCCTTCACTGCCAATCAGGAAGCAGAGAAGGTCAGCATTACAAATGGAGGCTTAATGGACTGAGTCGGTTGAACAGCTGCTTGACAGAAGAAGCCTTGTATAGCCTATAAACCTGCATGTCAGTGTCTTACAGGCATGTGTGCAGTATAGATGTCTGTCACGATATCATTATTTTTATGTTCTGTTATAGGTATAGGTACTCTTAAAAAAAACCCTTAGAAGCTGTTATAAATTTAGAAAGTTTTGAAATATTTTTGCTTTTGTAGACAGAAACTAAGAATGAGATAGTGGTGAAACTGAAATGAACTGAAGTGCAAGGAAGAGGATCATCTCCATTTCCTGGTAGTTCCTGACAGAAACAGTGCAGTCGATGTCAGAGGCTGAGATTACAGAAACAAAACCCTTTTGTTTCTGTAGCATTTCACAGCGAAGATAATTCTCCTGTTTATTAAAGGGGAACTATAAGGATTTTCCTTCTTGTCTGTTATAAATGAGGGTTTTACAAGTTTAAACCAGGGCTGTGGATGGGTGACTTTGCATGTAAATGCAGTTTTTCGTGAATGCAGTTCTGGTAATTTCCCTTTGGTTGAAAGCCAATATTTTTCATCTGCCAGAAAAACGTTGCATTTTAGCGATGCCCACAGTTTCAAATAATACAGTCAGGATATGTTCAGGTAACGCCTGTGAGTCAGTGATCAACAGCTTTCTTCTGTGTTCATCTGAGAGTCCCAACCTTTATCTCCATCCACCAGCAGTTAAAATCTTTTTTTGGCAGGAGGCAGTATAACAAAAAGTCATGCAAAGCTCCTCTAGTAGAGTCCGAGAATATGAAGGTGGAATTGTTAATTGTGCTTAGAGTCCACTTTAAGCTCAATTAACTCTCTTTTAACAACCTCGATCCCCACAGCAGCCGTTAACCTCCTGCTGCTTGATCCTCATGACCTTCTCAACAAATACAAACACTGGAGTGTAAGCTCAGCCACACTTTTCACACCTGTGGGAAACGAACAAAGTACACATAAGGAGGCAGAAGGAGAATCAAGATGAGCTTTGTCGGCCGTCTAAAAGAAAGCGGCTCATTTCTAAATTTAATTTACGCAAGAATAAGTTTTGTAATGTGTAATCTTTCTAATGAGATACTTGAATATGAGTTTGTAGAATTGGTGGGAAAGCAACAACAGTTTAGGTAATGAAAGCGCTCTAGTTTCCAGTTATAGTTCAAGCAGTATTGATGAATTACCACCAAAGAGGCTCTGGGGCCGTGCTGATAAAACAATTATTGTGCCACAGTTTTTCAATAAATCTCCTTTGCCTTTCAGCACATCCTGTTCTTTTGCTTCTCCATAAAAGTCCAAATTCACTCCCCACCAGACTGTGGCAGATTTAATTAACTTCATATTTATTTATTTCATTTGCTCATTTGAAGTATAATTAAAGTTCAGGAAAATCCCCTAAAATTAAGATCACATTTTTTGTTTGTTTGGTTGTTAAGTATAATGAATAGACTACTTTTAGCCTACTTTTAATAATTGTGTTAAATAATCGCGAGCAGCTAGTAGTTATAGCTTGCTTATAAAAACCCAGATATAATGCATCATTTCAGCAGTGTTTGATCTTAATACATTGATTGATGTTGGTTTTTAAAGATCCTGCAGAAACCCTGTGATAGGAGGGAATCCTCTGAGATATGAGAAGGATGTGTAGGAACAGTTATTTTTAATTTATTTAGTATTTTTGTGTTTTATTCAGAAACGACACTGTGTGTGATTTTTACTGCGTGGCGCTCATGTAGTCAAGGGACTCCAGCAGAGCGTCAATGAATAAGAAATGATGACCGTTATATCTGGCACGGTACAAATGTGGCCACTGAGTGCCAGCCGCCCTTGTCGCAGGCATACTCGGATGCCTTTAAAACCCAGAAAGGAAATACAAAACGGCATCTGAGCACATAGACGGGATGAGTTTAAAAGAGTCTTGGCCCTGCTTCCTTCCATTTCCTGATAGCTTGGCTTTATTGCCAGTCCAGTACCACACAACAGAACAAACAGGCTCTGTTTATGTGAATGTCACCAGCAGGCCAAGTATAGCTCCAATCCTGTGAGTCTTTTTCCCCTCAAAGTTTTCACAACAGATTTTTCTTTCTCACAGGCGGCAGCATCAACAGAATTGGGCCATAAAGCTCCATTTGAATACTCGATAAATTATTGACACGTGTTTGACTCTCTGAACATACATTAGACATGAGGGGGAGGGCTGACACAGGGAGAATATGATGTGAGTGAATCTTTGTGCACTGGAAAGAGGTCATAATGCAAAAACGGATGGGATTTGAGGAAAATATGTTTAGGGGTTTCGTGCAAAAAAAAAAAAAAAAAAAAAAATCAACCAGCTTGCTATAATACAATTTGAATTAGCCTATTTTTCATCAACCAGTGTTTCTAGATACAACACTACATTGAAATCAAGTTAAATAGCAGTAAGGCTCATTGTAGTCATTTGTTTTAAGATTCCTTAGAGATTTCTGCCTCTAATTTCCTTTTTGGCCGTTGCAGACCAGATTATTCTAGATAAGGCTGCAGAACTAGGTCTATGCTTCAATTTCTCAAGATCAGTTTTTACAGCTGTTTATTTATCAGCCATGCTATGCAGCAACAGTCTTCTCGAACAAATATAAAATTTCTTTGTTTTTTCAGTGATGTGTTTCATCCATCCCATGGATCCATCTTATGCTTTTAAAGGCACACAAACATAAAAAATTGAAACAGTCTTAATGTCTTCACCTGTTAAAGAAAGAAAATAGTGTCACCAGCATATTTAAAGTGGATTAATTAACAAGGGATGTATCATTTAAAGGCTACTTCATAGGCCTAGGCACACAGTGGTAGAGATTAGTCAGAGACCGCCTGGCAACCTCTGGTTGCTTGGGAAAAATGGTATTCCCTAACTAGTTAGAGCGTAGTTACTGGACGATGCTGGCACGAGTTAAAATCAGTCACTAAGAGCGTGCTGCCTCAAAAACCTCTTTGTGTTTGCTTTGGTTGCTAGCAGATGCTGTGGTCAGCTTGCAGTTTTTTCCAATGAAAATTGCCGATTTCTCTGCAGAACTTCCACACTTACTCCCTGAGCTGTAGTGAAAGTTAAAGGTTGAGACACAAGCCAGAAATGGATAACGTTCACCTTCAAAATAAAAGCTGTGCCAACCAGCACATTTTAAATCTATACATGACCAGTTTGTGGAAAGTGTTTGTGGACAAGTCTGCATCTTCCATGTAAACCTTGGACAACCATAGTAACCTCTTAGTGACAAAAGTAAATAGATAAAGGGGTCACTGACTGGTCTCTAGGCCTGTTTCACTGGGGCCTTAGCTTAGCTGTTTTTCCTTGTTTCCAGAGTTTTAAATAAGGTAACCAGCTGCTGGTTGTAGCTTTAAATTATGTGAAAAAACTCTAAACAGTATAAAAAATGGGTGTAGCGTGTTGATCTGGAAAGTGCCATAA